CAAATCGTAGCCCATAGGAAGACGTTACTTGCATATAACCTAATGGAATATCTTCATAACAGCTCCAAATGACACAAAACTAATATGGGTGAGTAGAACATGATGTACTAACGTAAAATCAAGGGCCCAATGTGAAAAAAAAAAACGGCCTTCCCCTTTAAAACATCAAGAAAGTAGATCCAACGTCATTATTTTACTGTAATAATGGCATGGGAGCTCAAAAATGCCAGCTCCTGTGCAGCAACTTCACAATGACAATATGGAGTTGTGTCTGCTTCTTTCCTGGAGATATAACGTGTAGCTGTGTGCAGTCTGAGCTGTTGTTTTAGCTGCTTATCTTTTCAGTGTGGATTGCTCTGGTTGATATTCCTTTAGACCTGACAAGAAGTAAGTTTGGACACTCCTCCTTAAAATTCTATTGTGGCTAACCTACATAGCTGCCTGCAGGGAACATGTAATTAAACAGCCACCACCGATGGAACCAGGTTTATCCATGCAGCACTAAGAAACTCTTAGACTGTAATAAAGAATCACCACAGTCTTGACAGAATAGTTTTGGCAGCATATGAGGAGCAATCACTGTTTAACTTATGTGATCGCTTAGAATCCCTCATGCATTTCAGAAGACCTTTCCAAGAGAAAGATCATACACATTTGTGTAAAAAAAAATATTCTAGATTATTTGCATTTTGAAGGCTGGTTGAATAGGAGATGATAAGCAAACTGTCAAGTATTGCCTATGCTTCACAGTGCAAGTGTTTTGGAAAAGTGTTATTTACAGGATTTATGATCAATGAGTCTTTACAGTAGAAACATCAACGTTTGCTAAGTTTGATGTTATCTGATAGGACTGCTTCTTTGTTCTTTACTTTGCTTTTAAAGCCTAGTAATGCCTTACTGTCATTTTATCCATCTATTCTTCCTATTATTAATACAGTAATTTTCCAAACAATCCATAAACGGAAAAAAAATATTAATGCCAGCTCTGTCTTTCAAAAGAAACCACTCTGATGTCTGTCTTTCCTAAATGTTGCCACAAAGATTAGGCAAGAAGGAAAAGCTAGAAGAAAAAAAAAAAAAAGGAAAACACTAAAACATATTGTTTATAGGAGGCCTGTGGACATCTCAAATGCACTCAGAGCGGCCATTAATAAAAATAATTAGCACAGGAGATGGGCGGAAAAAAACATGGGTCAGTGAGGCAGATGTAAAATCTCATTTCTTTTATTTAATTTAGCAAAAGCAGGAGCAGGAAACCAACAAATCATGTTGGAAAACAGAGCTCAACCATAAGACATCTTTATTCTTGAAGGGCAGAAATAAACACAAGCACAAACAGATAGCAACCATATCAGCGGCCTGAGAGGGCCAAAGGGGTCATTAGCGAAGGAAGATCAGATTTCAGCAATTCATCTTGGTCAAAGTGACCAGAGATGCTCAAACAAATAAGGATGTATAAGGAGGTGGTTGTGTACATTTCTTCTGTAATGTACTTTGGGGATCTTGGAGTCATTAATCAAACTCCAGCAAAAACACACCCACGCAATGCTTTACACACTTGGAGGCACAGTTAAAGCTCCGGTTCAGAGAGGTCAAGGTGCTAAATGTTACCGTAACTTGGAGAAGTTTCCAGCAACCCTGCAGCTTATCAAGGAGCAAACCCTTTCAAGTCCACTCTCTGCAACACACACGACACATTCATAACATCCTGAGGGAAACTTGACACAATTAGGGCTCTACATGGAATCATTTTCACAGAAAAGAGAAAAACACAATTAGCATAGCAAGTGCAACAGTATGCAGAGAGGCACCAAGTCCGTCAAAGGTAATGAAGGTCGAGAAGAGAAGCAAATGGCTGGAGATGTAACTCACAGACTGCTGAAACTTTGAAAGTGCATAAGCCAACTGCAACATAATTCATTAAATAACACATTAATACAACAATACAACTTTAAAAAGCGTATGCCGTTCAAAATGCTGAACATAAAGGTTGCTTTCTTTACACGATCTAATCTATCAGAAGTATTGGACCAGTTGCTAAGATCAAGTTGGTTTTGATAGCTAGAGAGGTCCACCATTAAATTGCCACAATCCATAATATGGTTTTGTGTTACTTCATATGCAAAATTATGAAATAAGATATGCAAACAAATATCCTAAAATGTATATAAAGTGACGTTTCAACATGATGATTATATGTTTTATATGTTTTTAAATTTGGCAGTTTGTTTCACTGTTAGACATAGTACTTAGTATCGTCTCATCAAGAGATACTTTTGTGTTGAAAAGGGAAAAATAAAAATAGATGTTTTATATGTTTATTCAGAAACATTTAAAGATTAAAGCTATGACTGGGATGTTGTAGTTTTGCAGAAATAAAACCTATTTAAAAAAGATACAGCAAAAGCAAGACTAATTGGAATACAAAAGCTTTATGATCTGATTTTAACCTGTTGATATCGACTGACTGTATAATAGAGTAAACAAACTAGGAATTATGTCAGCCTGCTGAAAGACTTGGCTACAATATAGAAATATTTAGAATATAGCATGAGAGACTCTTCAGTATAACCACACTTAAATCTCAGATGTGTAATCACAGGTTCAATATTTTATTTAGTTTATCCAAAATAGTAAACCAAATGTATTTAATTGTTTGACGCAGGTTCTCTAAATGCGTCAAATATAGATTAAGCATCTACCATAAAATAATTAAACAATTACAACTTTGCCAGTGGCTGTAGTGGTTTAAGACCCTTTTTTCACTACTTAATATCTTAAAAAATAAATAAAAAGAAAAAACTATGAAAGTTAATAGATCTGGCTACATGTTAAAAAGCAACCCAGCTTCACGGACATTAATGTTAGGAACAAATGTTTGATTCATCAATAGAAGTGTTTATATCAGGTCAATACTTTGACCAGAAGTCAAGTTTTACAGAAATAAAACACAGAGGTACAAAAAAAGAAGTATTTACTGAACAAAAATGTAAAGTACCATACAATCTGTACTCATGTCTAAGAGATTTTTTGTTTTTGTCCAAACTAAATACTTACGAAGGTATACAGGAAATAAGATTGTTTATGACTGAACTATTTATTACTTATTAAACTTATTCATTATGAAGTAATAGCAAATAATAATAATTGGACTTTATTGATCTCAAACTGGGTAAATTTACCTCTGCCTTTAACCCATCCCCTTGGTATGTAAGCCGAGAGCGGTTGTTTTAATCCTTTGCCTTCTTGAGATAATGGCATAATCATCTCGTTATCACGGTTAAACCATTAATTGATTTCTTGAGATAACGAAATGATTAATCTGTAGCAGTAATGAATGAGGCTGGCCAACAGCCCTGGATTCCCAGTCCATCCATGCCTGCAGTTGTAGTAGTTGTGCAGTCGCTGTACCGCTTGTCAGCAAATAATCAGTTTTTTTATTTGCTTTTTCTTTTCACACATGGTCAGGTCGTGGTGGATGATTGGATTGCATGGAATACATTAGAAAAAAATCTGACTGTTTTTGTTTTTTTTTATGAAAATCTTTTATTTGGACTCATTTTGGGGGTTAATGCATCTTATAACAGTTAGTGGTATAACCCCAGAGCTGTTTAGAAAACATGCGGTGACAGAACACTAGCACTAAGGCGCCGGAGGCATACACTGTAGGTCTAGTTGCTAATGAATCAGAAGTGGAAGCAAATCATCTACCAACAATGTAATCTCGTTACCTAAAAGTTAAACACAAAATTATGTACAGAATTACACATATCCTTTTCCGCTGTTGTTGTATTGAAGGATGTAATCAGTTTTAACACACACCAATCATCTCGTTATGATGAGAAAACGTCTTTCTTTATGTTTAGATGATGACAAAATTAACAAATTTTTCAAGAAAACCATAAAAAAGGTATCGGAGGGAGCAGTGGGCAGCAACTGTGTGGCGCCCGTTGAGCACTGTGGGATTAAGGGTCTTGCTCAGGAACCCATAGTGGAGATCGAACAGGGTACTCGCAACCTTCTCAGAGCACAAGCGCACTGCTTTAACCCCTAGGCCAACACTCCCACCATTAGATACTGATGAAACATAACCACAAGTGATTAAATGACAGACACAAAAGTAGCGGTGCTGCCATGTTCTTGATGAGAGCCTTTTTCCTTCAAGCTGTTCCAAAAAAGTCAGACTCACTCAGTCTTTTATTAATGTACAATCAAATCAGAAGGTTTTAGGTATTTATTCCAAGCTTTGTTTAAATAATCCTTGCTATAATGTAAACAGTGAAAAAAGAAGTTTGCTTCCCATTGTTGTTGAATTTGTAGTGTGCACATTTCGACAGCTGAATATATAAATATTACCGCACATGAATTGCATATTCGAAGCATGCTGTAATAGTCGGCAGTCTGCTCCTTATTCTCCAGCACTAAGGAACTCCAACTGTGTATTGTGCTGCATCTGATGAAAGGCTTGAATATTCAGCAAGACATATGGCGGAATGGCATCAAGCAAAGGAGCAAAGGTAGAGTAAACACTACGAAAAGAGAAGAGGATGCTTGGAGGATAGACAAGCTGTGAGCACGGGTGTTGCAAAGGGCGGGAAAAAATTGTATATCTTCTGTCAGACAATGCAAACACCTCTAATCCACAAACAAAAGCAAATGCAAGGAAATCCTGCTTGAAGCAGTCCTGACACCCTGCTGCACACATTCCGCCTTAGAGTTCAGAAACCATCACATCTGCGACTAAACTGAGTCATTCTGCCCATTTCATTCAAAAACTATTTCCTGGAAGGTAAACGTCAATAGCAAGATGCTCATCTACGCTATGAGCGGCAATAAGAGGCATTATTTTCTTCTGTGTGAAACTTTTCATTATGTTTTTACTGTTTGCAAGTCTCATAAGAGCTGAACCATAAAAACCGAATGATTGCGCTGCGGAGAATGTGGGCAATGATGGTTATGATCATAATGTTGGAGGTTGACTGCAACAAAAAGTCTCCTACCGTGGTCTGTGATTTTACAAGACACCAGATAGAGCTCCTTGAGGCTCCTTCCTTCCTTGGCAATGATTTCCACACACCTAAAAAGACACAAGACAGCAGAAATGTAAGATATTACAACAACGGTATGTGTGTGGGTGTGTGTGTAGATATACTATTAACAGTTTTAAACTCATGTTTTTCAACAGTAGATAACTTCATACACAGATATCTGTGATTGGCAGATTTCAATTTAGATAATGGAAATAAAACTGCTCATATTTATTCTGCTGTCACAAACATTTCCCACATGCATTGCGACAAAAAAAGAAGAAATTTAACATCTCTCTGAAATGATTGTCCATTCCAACACAGGATCCTATTTAGTATTAGAATAAAGGAGAGGAAGACAGAGTTAAGCAGATAAATATTTCCCTTTCACCTCAAAAAGATGCAATATTTTGTCTGTTCATCACATAAAGTCAAAATTTGAAAATTAGAGAAAAAAGAAACTTCAACAGTGTTAAAAAAATTGCAAGGAACACATATTTCTTTGTAAAATCCACTGTTATTTACCTCCACAAAGTTTTTTTTTTATTATTATTGAGTAACACACTTCTTTGCCTGTGGGATTACACCAGCATAAAGGTTAAACAGTACTGCCGCAGGGTCAAAACTGTTCTGCCTCCACTTATTTTACCATACATTAATAATTAAACACCTGGTCTGATGAAAAAAGCTAGCACCACTACAGCAGGATTGTTGTGCATATTGTGCCTGTGAGCTTATGCACACAAGCACACACTGCTAAAGCTTTGCAGGCTCACTCACTTCAAAGAAACATATCTGAATTCATCCCCCTGCCTGGGCCCTGAGGACTGACAGTGTGCGTGCATGTGTGAGAGAGGAAGGATACGCAGGGGAGGCCCGAAGGCAAGATCAGAGTATCTGTATCAAATGATTCTCTTTAAATGCCTCTAATGAGAAGAGTGCATGCAACAACTAGATTTTGATCTTTGCATTTGACCCATTAACCTTCAACAGAAACCATTTTGATCTCGTTGGTGGTGTTGTATCATGAAAACTAACGAATGAAAGACGGGAACACACGCAGGCACAATGCACAGCTCTGGAGGTGGTTGGCTTTCTGCTGTCGATGAGCCTCATGTCAATGGTAAGCAGGGGAACAATGTCAAAGTATTTGCTGTGGTGCTCTTTTCTGGGATCCAAGCAGAATGACTGATAGCTGTGGACATATTTGCTTTGAAACAGCTGGTCTTTGTTAAACCAAACTCGTACAAGTTGGAGAAGTTGTGAGGATTTTGTTACTTTCTCTAATTCTTTTTGTCCTGCATCTTCTCTTGCTAGCAAAGGGGAAACAAGAGGATTTGGAACAACTGGGGAATGCAGCAGGCAAAACTTGCAGAAAATCTGATTGGTGAGTGGTTTCATGGGTGGTTTTTTGTCCTTGGATTCACTTAAGGTGGCACAATCCATGAATGTGACTTGAGGTGTGATATGTCACACTAAAGGATTAAGAAAAGATGCAACTGAAAGAAAAGTTGATATGTGAGGGATATTTCTAAAAAAGAAATCTGTATGGCTGAGTTCAGTCAAAGATGTTAAAATGTGCCCTGCCTGCTTTAGTTCACTGGACTGTATCTCTTATTTTTGCCTTTTCTATCACATTTCTCCTTCCTCTCTCTGCACGTTATCAGGTTGTCCTTTTTCCACTTTGTCACTTTCCTCTCCCACCTCTTCTTATTTATTTCCTGTCTAAATCTAGCTGCTTCTTTTTTTCCAAACTAAGCCCTCCGTCTCTCCATCTGCGGCCCCCACTGAATCATATAAAAAACAAAGGCTCCCATCCAAATAAAAAAACGACCTGTTGCAATTGGTCATTCCTGGAAGCTGCCTTGAGCTGCAGGCAGCCTTAGATTAGACCGAGTTAAGCCTGGAGGATCACAATATCATGCTGAGTGTCCTGAGGCTGGAGCATTAGAACTGCTAATGAATGAATAGCCTGGGTAGAGCCACTGAGAAAACAGATAAAAAAGAAAGCAGCGATCCAGGGATGCTGCGATGAGGGTGGAGCGCATCCTCTGGGAGCTTGTTACACTGCGCCCAGGTCCCAGGGGTGAGAGCAAAAGCAATTAGAAGTGACATCAATGAATGAAAGAGGGAGCAGGGAGAGCCTGAGAGCAACTACAGCAGGAAGCAGAGTGAGTAGAAATCTCTATATAGAATCGAGGCGGGTGCATCGCAGGAGACTGGCAGCGCAATAGAGGGGAGGAAAAAAGGAGATGAGGCCAGGGTGGAGGGAAATAGGAAAGAGGTGTGAGGCTAACAGGTGTGGTGCATAGTATGCCACATGAAAAGCCACTAAGACTCAAGAACATTATACCCCAAAAGGCTCTGCTCACATAAATTAGTGATCCGATCGCTTTCAATAGAGTATATGACAAAAGCCCAGGTTGTATCTGGAGCATATTTGCACCATTTTATATGAAGCTACTTTACCGAGCCGAAGCTAAGCTCAGTAATGCAGCGATGGGGTCGGAGGAAAGTAGAGAAAAAGGAGGAAACATGTTTATTAAAACTATTATGGGTTCATCTGCTTTTCTTTTGGTTTTTATCCAGTTGGGAATTGGGAAGAGCCTGTCACAGATTTCTAATATAAAATAGTTTAGACATGATATATATTTATACTGTATGTAAATAAAATGTTTCTTTACTGTGTTACATTCCAGCTATTTTCTGTTTTAGAATTAAAAATAAGTATTTCTACTTGTGAAAAGCTATACAGAAATGTTTCTCTTGAGGGAATTGGTACAGCTGTCAGGTTTGTAGACTGCATTGCTCACTCATATCTTTTCACCTCTGCCCACACTTTTTCTATGAGATTAGGCTCAATGTCCCTTTGAAAGCTTATTTTCATCCAATTTCAACTTCTTGTCTTTTGTTTTAAGATATAGCTTTAACCTTTGTGTATTGCAATGTTTCCTTATAAATAACTTAATAAAGTGCACCAGTCGTTCCTGCAGCAACCTAACCTCACCACATGTAACACAGCCCCCTATGGCTTTTCCTGTTTCTCTTGGATATGTAGCTTCTTCCTCTCTGAATGGAAGGTAATTATGCATTGGTGTGATCTGTATGATGAACTGAAATAAACTTAAAGAATGTGGGATTTTTACAGATATTTTATTATTTAGCGAGAAGGAAACTGTGTTTTCAAGTAATGTCAGTTTGCTTTTGATAGCTTTGTTAAGATTTATTTATTTATTCTGGTTATTTTTTATCTTTAATGTGTGAGGGTAAGAGAAATGAGAAGAAACCAGTAAGGAGGTAAAAGCATTCCATGTACCTGTAAATAATACATTGTTAAATAAAATTTATCTGGACATGAATAAGTATAAATGCTACAATCAAAAGTTTACAGAGGGTTACAAGAGGTTTAATGGAACCATTTCACAATAATTACACTTTTTTGTGTTTTCAGTTCTTTCTGATCATATTTCAGGGTCACGTAACCAATATTTACTACAGATTATTCTTTAACCAAACTTAGAGCCTTCAGTTTACCTGTTTTTTTACACTGAAATTTTTCACTTTGATTTAGGTACTTTAAGGTGTCTTGGTGCGTTTATTCTCTAGCATGTATTAAAAATCACATTTACCACTAAATAAAACTGCAAAAATCCTTTTAAGGAAAAACACTTATTATAATAATACAATAATTAAATTAGTCTGCAAACTATTAAAATAAATAATACAGCCATTACAGACAGACCTATTGAGGAAAATGGGAAAAGAAAAGAAGATACCAAGTCTGAGTGATGATCGCTTATTTTTGCAATGAAAAAGTTAGGAGTTGAGGACAAAAGATGAAAATTAAAAAGAAAAAGAAAGCTTCGCAACACAAGGGGTAAATGATGATGGCAAGTGAAAACAAGGCTGGAATGTTTACCTCAGGGACAAACACTGAAATAAAAAAAATGCCCAGAGAGAAAATTTTGATATAGTTATGTGGTTTTCTCATGTGCAGCCAATTTTTCCCAGTTTAATGACAACGAATCCTTTTTCATTGCAACAAAGAGCATTACTGTAACCAGAGGCTAGTATCTGAAAGACAGCTAAAGAGGCTCATCAAGGGTCAGCATGTGGTTTACTGGCACCAACAGTTGGATGTTCAACAATAAAGCTGCCACTCCCTTTATTTTTTTACCTCAAACTTTCAGAACAAACTTTTCTGCACTGTTATCATACAAGAGACACTTTAACTTGCATTTGATTAGAAAACATTACATTTTGTGACTAAATCAAATATCAAATTTTCATTTAACAGTACTCAACCTTGAGAACTTTACTGAAACCCCATTAATCTCTTGCTCTATTCAGAGAGAGTCTGCTGCCAAAGAACAAAGAACTGAATATGTTTACTTAGCGCTCACCATAAGACAGAAAGAACAACTGTATTCATCTGAAAACTATAAAACCCTTGTCTGTCTGATAATTATATGAAATGGGTTTTTAAAGTATAACTTATTTTGTGACATTATCTCTGAAAAAGACTGCTGATCCAGGCTAATAAATGTTTCTTATGACGTTCTGTCCTTTTAAAACACTAAAAATTATCATAATGAGGGATACTAAACCATCAGTTACACCTTCAGTATTGCAACAAGTGTCCATGTCAGTTTTTAGACCTGTTTTATTTCTTTATAAATTGCTTTAAAAAAGGAAAAACTAAAATACACATAGAGATAGTAAAGAGCAATAAGCAGTAAAGTGCAGGTCAGACAATATAAGCAGTGGAATCAGCAATGAAAGGCAAACAAGGAATAATGGTCGTGCTCTTTTGAACTAAAAGGGAGTTTCTAAAAAAAAAATTTTTTTTAAAGAGACTTAAATTGTTTCAAACAGAGAGGGAACCAATTCTAGAACCTGACTTAAAAAGCTCAGTCTCTCCAGGTAACAATAATAATCCTGTAGTTTCTAGGGGATATTATTGCAATCAGTTTAATATGCTGCTTCAATCAAGATTAATCAGTCAAACGTTTGAGAGAACAGAAGCATCATAATCACTCTTATTAAAAAA